GTACTCCTTTATTGCTTGCACTTTGTCCTCACAAGGTAAAATACCCTCTTGCTTGATAACATGACCCAGAAATATTATTTCTCGTTTACCTAACTCGCATTTGTCTGGGTTAACTACTATTCCATTATCCGAAAGGCGTTGGAATAATAGCGTAAGATGTTGATAATGTTCATCTACGTTTGATGATGCGATTAGCAGGTCATCAATATAGACGTGAACAAAATCGAGGTCTCGTACAATGCTATCGATAAACCTTTGAAAAGTTTGAGCAGCATTCCGTAATCCAAATGGCATTCGTAGGAACTCAAACAAACCGAAAGGAGTCGTGATAGCGGTCTTTTCGATATCTTCAAGAGCGACTGGGATCTGATGATATGCTCGTACCAGATCGATCTTAGAAAAGATAGTCGTGCCCTTGAGCGATGCCGTGATGTCGTGTATGTGGGGGATGGGGTAGCTATCGAAGCGCGTAACTACGTTTAGAGCTCGGTAGTCGCCGCATGGTCTCCAACTAACCCCATCTTTTTTGCGCACCATGTGTAGAGGAGAGGCCCATGGACTGTGAGAAGGACGAATAATACCAGTAGCTAGTAAATTGTCAAACTCACGCTTAGCAAAAACTAATTTGTCCGGTGCCAGTCGGCGAAGTCGTGCCGTGACTGGCGGTCCGCGGGTGACTATGTGGTGTACCACACGATTGGTCACCGATGGAAGCTCCTCGAGTGGTTTAGTGAGTACGGGGAATTTCTCGAATAAAGCGTGGAATTTATCGTCACGCGAGTAAAAATTGCCGAGGATTCGGTACGCGTTCATGTGGGCTTTAAAGCCCATGAATTTGCTGTTCGACGAAGTATCGATTAGCTTCAGCCTACGTGAATCGACAAGCAATTCATAGTGCTGTAGAAAATCGATACCTAGTATGGCTGTGGGAACATCAGCAATGATGAACGTCCACAGATACCGTCGTCGGTTGCCCAGGTTGACCACGAGTTGTCGTGTACCGTAGGTAGGAATGACTGAGCCATTCGCAGCGCGTAGTCGAAGCACTGTGGCTTGTGACTTGCTGCTACCTCGTGGTACGACAGAAACTTGGGCCACAGTGTCTACTAGGAACCTAGCGTTTGTGCGATAATCGTGCACATAGAATAGGCGACCAACCTGGAGAGAAGGGCCGGCGAGTACGGCCGCTTTTACTCGCCGGCGCTGGCGTTTCCCGCCTTGTATGAGCATGGCGCTAGACAACGGTGGGCGCCAGACCCGAAGGACCTATGGAACCAGCACCAACTGTCACTCGCTTCCGTAACCGCCTTTCGGCGTGGCCTGGGAGATGCCCTTTTTGGGCGAGTGGTGACGGGTTTGCGAGAACTTGAGCGAGCTCGGGGGACGTAGGGTTGGGGTACGTTACAACGGTCTCGAAAACTAAGACCTGTGTGGATACACCCGTCCCTGTCGCCATTAGCTGAGGAATGACCGGCGTCCAAGTCTACTTTAGGACGTGCCGTTGAAGCAACTACATAGGTATCTTTATTGCTAGTCCTCGCTAAAATTTTATCTGCTATGAGGGCTACCTGGTTAAGCGGTGAGTCCTCGAGCAGTGCCGTCACAGTGGGTTGGATATGCGCTGGAAGTGACTCGAGCCATAATTCCTCAACTATCTTCAAGTCAGATGCTGTTGATCCTGCAAGAGATTGCAGGCGCATGAGGTGATGGCTTGGTTTAGCATCACCCAGGGGGTGACGTGCTAACAGGGTCCTCAATCGTTCCTCCCTCGATGGGAGGAAATGTCGGAGAATTGCCTCCTTAAGGCGGTCATAAACATTAGGCACGTTAGAATTGAGGACGACCTCACGAACAGCTACTAAATGGTCCCCGGGTAACGGTTCGACAGCGTAGGCGTATTTTTGCCTTTGGCTCGTGATGCGACGAGTCTCGAACTGAGACTCTATTGCAGCAAACCAGACCTCAGGGTCGTGGGGGATAAATGATACAGGTCGAAAATGAATGGCCTGTACGTCTGAGTCTATAACATTAATAGTATTCTTCTCGCTATCCGTCATGTCGTGTATATTATATATTAAAAATTAATATGAAAATATACGACAGACGTGGATAGATAAATAATAGACTCACCAAATTGACTTCTTTGAAAGATTTGACCCGAGGTTGAGGCGTGTTCCAAACTTTGGGATCACCAATTGTAGCGTGGCGTCGAGTTGAGATTAACTATGAACACCGCTACAAAGAAACACGTGCCAGACAAATCAGAAGGCGAGGATCGAACGTAACCAGATTTATTTCGTTGGCGATCTCGTGGTATTGAACGAATACCGAGATCGTGCCAAGAAGTGGTACAAGTGGAAGCAGAAGACAGGAGTACGTGCGAACAGTACCAAAAACCGCGGAACAATAATGGAAGGTAATGGAAGCAAAAAATGGCTATAATTAGCACAGTTAAACAAAAGCACATTAAAACAAACACTGGTACAGTTGGTTATAATAGTAATTGTTTTTATTAAACCAGTCGTGTTCTCGTGATAAACGTGAGTCACTACACAGGTATTCAGTGTTTGGCAACGCTTTTACCAGTAACACCTTTTAATATAATTCGTAACCACCAAGAGAAATTAAAAGACAGAGTCGAGAAGATCGGAAAAGTATATTTGGCGATTACCAATATATCGGAATTCTCTGATCTAATCTGGCTAGCGATTGCAGTAGCAGTTGAGCATGGCGTTACCACACGTGATCTGGTACGGATGCCTTCAGCTAGATGAGTCCACTAAAACATGTGGTCAGCATCCAATGTCGAAAACTTACAGAGCTATTTATTTTGGAGATTTATTTACCGCTACAGTAAGTAAAGCTGCCTGTTTCTAATGACTTTACTTATTCAAATCACTCTGATTAAAAGTAGGAAAAAATGCTTTTGGTACTGTTGCGATACGGTACTAAGCCCATGTTATGCTTTGCACAAGTCATAGTAGCTGACCTGATCTAATACTCATGAACCCAAGGTAAATAACAACTGCATAAATTATTTGCTAAAAAGCATGTAATTCGGTTATTTATCTATTCCACATTCCTGACTAAAGTGATTACTATTTTTTCATTTAGAATGCAACAGGAGTGAAGCTTCACAGATCCTTGAGACTGTTCACGGGAGACTCAACTAACAGCAGGTTGTAAAAGGGATGCTGGACGTCCATCCTAGTCTCACAACCACTTTCAGTATTTTCTGAGTTGCTTCTTTTACCCTTTCGTTTGGAAAAGAACAGCAAAGACTGCAGCTTAACATTACCATTGCAACTTTTAAGAGGGAACTTGGTCTAAACCCTTGTTTGATATTCGATTCCTAATGAAAGTTCGTGAATAAATTTTTAAATCTAATGCTACTTTGTTTTATCTACTTAATCGTTGCAAGAAACTTGTGATACACGAGCCTCTCAGCACCTAGTTCATATGTAGTAAATCTAAGTGACTTAATAAATATCTTCGTTATTTTCTTGGGAAACCTACAGACTCGGGTGCTCTCATAATTTATTCTAACCACCATGGATGGACACGCGTTACACATCCTAACCGTACCCGCGTCTAATCTTATAGCTCCTTATTCAAATGCCATATGATAAGCAAGCAGTGCCCCTGCCTGCACTAATGGAACACTAGTAACTCACAGGCACCCTGTATTGCACCTTAGATTGGTCTACGCACTCGCTTTGCTCTTTAGTGGGAATATTACTACAGTCCTGCTAAAAATCCCATGAACCCCTTATCTCCATCAAAAGAAATGTCTGTATTTGCTGCATATAGCAATTTTATTTTTCAGAAGATATAACAGTTAGAATTAGAGTAAAATGGAAGTATACAGAAGATACACGTGGTACATGTCTTCACTGATTAACTGAAATAGAGAATACGGATATTAGCTTAACAGGTATATTTAGAAAGGCCAGTGTCTAATTTGAACTTACTGCGTGAGAAAGTTATACTGGAACTACGAATGTTGTAGAAACAGAGTTTCTCGGAGCGTACGGAGCACTCAAACTGGAAGACAGTTGTCCAAAAATGACTCGAATATGAAGGTGAAAATTTGCAGGTACTTTTCATCGTAAGGGTAAACATATTAGGTACCGGTTGACATCATACCGTAAAAAAACAAAAATTTGAGAGTGGTGAAATATGGTCTTTAAAAAAGTGAGCTTAATAACAGTTAGTTACTTTTTTACTCCATGATCATGACCCTTCGGCTTCCTTTTATGGCCAAAACAGCAAACATACACTACACACTGGTAGCAGATTTCCGGCTTTTCAATGTTAAGCCTGCTTTAACACACTACGTGATGAGTACAACTCGTCTATTACTGATATATGGCATATTTTTTATAACAAACCCTCTGCAATAGATTGGTAGCATCTGTGACTTCATCTGTAGTTGTCGGAAGCCTGGGTCCTTACGAAATCAATACTGATATCCACTACTGCTTGGCACTCAGTATTAGTTTGACTCGTTGGTGGGATAGTGTTGTCCATAATACCGAAGAATATTAAAAACCGTAGATTGTTTCCCTTCATTTTGCCGTTAATATCATAAAAGATAGTTAGGAACGAACATGCAAACAGTTAGAGTCACAGGCGGCAGCAACAATTATTTTAGCTAAATAAAAACGAACTTCGGCTTTGGATATCTAGAAAACAAGGTTAAATATAACCGATTATCATTTAAAAACATAGGGTTTTATATTAGTACTAGCCAGCTTAGCTGAATAAATACATTGACTTCAGTAGCAGCAGGAAAAACCCAGAAAACAAAACAAAATCAAGAAAACTTTTGCTCTAACGTTTAGAGTATTACATTAACTTCTGCGTTTTAGCACACTGAAACATTAAATTACATAGCTACACAAAAGAAATAGCTGAAAAAATCACAGAACGAAGAAAGCCGACCGCCATTGCTTACAAGGATGGCGGACATAATGATTCCCGCTTCATTCTGATTGGTTGCTAAGCTGAAGGGCACATTTACGAATTTGAGTTGCGTTTAATTGCAGCCTGGCTAAACTCAAATCAAATCTAAAATGGTCTTGATTTGACCGCTTCTGCAAAACTTGACTAACTATCGGGGTGACGCGCCAATCATTTCACAACGGTTTGACCTTGAAGTGCTCAGCGACCTCCGTCAGTGGACGATACCCCTGAAGTGTTGCCCCTCACATCAATCCGCAAATGAATCTAGCATATCTTGACGGTTAGTTTTCCTAAATCTTCGTTTTAAACTGTTGATGTGAAAATCATTCTCTGTAAGTTGTCAAGACAAAATAAAGTCAGTATTTGTATCGTTTCGAAAAGGGCAGTGATTTTTGTACTTATTGTGATTATCCTTGCTTTGTGTACTTGTTGCATCGTAAAGCATTCTTGGTCTACTTTAACTAAAAGAACTTTGGTTAAGGTTTGAAATTTTTGTTAAACTTTGTCCTGTGGTACCTCTTTCTTTACTCATTGACTGACTCTCGTGTTCACATTGTGATCGTATTGTGTTTCAAACCTTTTTAATCAAATTACAATGGTTAGTAAGACTTGTAAATGTGGACAACCAAACTACCTGTTCCCCGTTAAGGAAGGAATGCATTGCAATGAATGTAAAAAGTGATACCATAAGATGTATACATGTCTAAGTCATACGGCATACAAAAGTTGCTCGAAGCCTAACTCGCATTAGCTTTCTATGTTCTGCTGTACAAGTAAATAGTTACTACATCCCAAAGTCTTGAGACATATCGCACAATATATCGCGGCCCCACTGACTGTGATATTCAATATGTCACTTGACCAAGGTGTGTTACCTATGGACTGGAAGAATGCAATCGTCACTTCCATACATAAAACAGGTCCACGACAAGTTCCATCGACTTACAGACCTGTAAGCCTCACCAGTGTTATAGTTAAAATCTTGGAAAGAATAGTCAAACGGACCATAATGGCATTTATGGAAACCAATAACTTGCTAAACGTAGAACATGGTTTTAGGAAGGGTTTATCTTGTACAACGAACCTCCTTATAGCAAGGGAGTTTTGGATAAATGCGCTAGACGACGGAAACTCAGTGGATGTTGTCTACATAGATTTCAGTAAGGCTTTTGACAAGGTGCCAACTAATAGACTGCTATTGAGGTTGAAAAACCTTGATATTTCCGGACCTCTTTTAAAATGGATTAAGGATTTCCTAGTAGGTCGTAGGCAGAAAGTAAGAATAAACTTCAAGTGCTCCATCTGGAGACAAGTGCTTAGTGGGGTACCTCAAGGTTCCGTCCTAGGTCCCTTACTTTTTGTAATGTATGTTAATGATCTTTCAAGTATAGTAGTCTCCAATGTTATTACACGCTGACGATGTAAAAATCTGGCGAGTAATAACTGGAGACAAAGACGCATGTGCTCTTCAGGCAGACTTAAATAATACGATAAACTGGTCTAAAGAGTGGCTGATGCCTATAAACGCGGCAAAGCGTGTCTACATGTATTTTGCGGATTCCACGGTTAATAGGTACAACATAGGGGAAGTGCTATTACCCGTAGTCCGGTCTCATAAGGATCTAGGGGTGACAGTGAGTTATGATCTTAAGACGACGGCCCATTGCCGGGAAGTCTCAGCTAAGGGGTTTCGAACCCTCTGGGCTTTAAAACGGACATTTACTAAGTTAGATACTACTATGTTCACTACAGTATACACATCCTTAGTGAGAACTAAGCTTAAGAACTGCATTCAGGCTGCAAGCCCCTGTTTAAAAGGTGACTCGGATATCCTAGAAAAAGTACAGAGGGCAGCTACCCGTGCAATTCCAGAACTCCGGGGTTTACCATACAAAGAGCGGCTTGAAAAGCTGAACCTTTTTACTCTGTCCTATCGCAGATTAAGGGGAGATCTAATTTTGATGTACAGAATACTGAGAAATGATTTTGGATCTAATTTATTCTCTGTTTCTTCCCACTAGATCGGGACATCTCAGAGGACATAGCAGGTGAGTAAAAAAGGCCTAGAACGAACAAAATACCCGTGGCATACAGGGTTTCACACCGAGTCATCAATGCTTGGAACCTGCTGCCCGAAGCAGTGGTGTCCGCACCTTCAACTTATTCTTTCAAGAGAAGACTGAACACTCACAGAAGCATACTAGGAAAGGAATAACACAGGCCGTAGGCCTTCTGTCTTTACTATAAAAATCTGAATCTTTACTTCTTCTACATTTTAGTGGTTTTAGATACTGAAGCTTGTGAAATTTTACCACTGCTTCTCTATGTGAAATCAACGAGAAAATTTTACCAGCATAGATAAATTGTTCACTCAACATTCATGTTAGTTTAGCAAACAGTTTGTATGTTTCTGTCTGTTCATTAGACTTCGGTGGTCGTGTTAACATTCGTATACGTTACATCAACAGTAGAGGATATAAGCTAAGTAAAATGACCAGAACGCCTGTTTAAATCAGGGTAAACAATATCCTTGGCAATTTCACTGCAGCATATTGCATAGTCTCCGTTTAATTTCCTTTGGATTATTTGCTTTCCATACAGATGTCTTTTTGCGTAAAACCTTTTTAATAATCTTATTTTTAAACAGACAAGGATGAATGTAATGACATCGCTATTGGTATCGATATTTCAGAGGATTACAGTCAAACAAACAATGTCTCTGGTGATTCACTCATTAAAATGAGAGCACAATGGACTGAAGAATTAAAGCAAGTATGTGAAATTTTACTACCAAAGAATAATAATATGCCTATAAGATGAGCGTTTCGTGTTGTGGAGTTAGAGCTTCGTTGTTTACTTAGTCCTCAACCATATGGTCACCTATTCAAACTATGCTACTCATGGTTGTTAGAGTGGTTGGCCATAAAATATGTCTTAAGTATGAATATAGGTTCTAGTTAGTCTGTATGGTCCCATGCAATAAATGTTTATCCTGTGACATGATATCATGAGTTATGTACTCAGACACCAAAAATGTACTCGAGGGTGGTGAATATTTTTTAATACTAAAATTTCTATACGGAATTCGACGGAGTGTGGAGGTATTTAGTCTTCAGTAATAAGGATATTAAGTCGGTGGGCCTGTGTTAATCCTTGCAGTTGGTTTTCTAGTTAGAGTCCATCCTCTCGAAAATCTTCACTGATAAAACTGATGCCACTTGTTTGGGTAAGGCATTCAGTCATTGACTACTTAGTGAGAGAAACGGAACCACACTCCAAGTTTATGAGTTCACGGTTTTTGAACCCTTTTTCTACAGCCTCGGAGATGATTAGTTCTGGGGGGGGAGTAAAATGATGAAGCATATTAACACTCAAGTCGTTAATAAAAATACAGAAGGCCGATGTAAGGCCACCTCGCGTTCTACGATATGTTATGGGGAAAAGGTTCAGGGTTTCAACCCTCATTGTAAGAGATTTTGAAAGTACCTTTCACTAACTTTGTTCTCATACAGTGAACACGCTTGAGTGTGTTAGTATTTTTAGCAGCACATAGACAGGCTGCTCGGATACAGTACTCCAGGTGTGCTCTTACATAGGTGGAATATAAAATCCGAAACGTCTCGTCAAAGCATTTGAATGCTCGGTCAAGTGACTAAAACGCTTAAACTCCTTTGACGGCTGTTGCGTTGCAATGTGCAGTTGTTTTTAAGTCGTGACTTACTATTATCCCTAACTGTGTTAGTGCATACTTGGAAGCGAAGTACGGTCAGTGGTATACTGGTAATTGTTACTGTGTCCTATGTGCATTATCACACTTCCTAAATTCAGTTTCTGAGCCCCAACTTTGGTACACCTACCTGATTCTTCTAGGTCAGCCTGGAGATCAAGGTTATTAGCCTCACCACTTTTTGTCCTCCAGATTTTGACATCTGCAAACAGTGATGTCGACAACCTAAGCAGCGGCGGTAGTTCATTAATGTATAGAAGAAAAATAGGGAAGCTAGGATGTTCTCTTGGGGTACCCCACTTTTGACCGGCTTCTATCGAGTGTCCCATTTCCCCTCACTGTCCTGGGCCAGAGAGGAAGCTCTTTATCCATTATTGTATGACATCTGTTATTCCAAAGTTAGAGAGCTGCATAAGCCCTAAGTGAGAGACCTTATAAAATGCTCTGATAAAATCCATGAATATCACATCGACAAACTGTCATCTTAGACTTGTCCGATCCTCTCTCGTGATAAGTTGGTTAAGTAGGAACTCTGTCTGAAACCTGTGTTGCTTAACCGGTCGCATGAGTCCGTGTTACGTAGTAACAGCCCGGATTTTTTTCATGTAACTTAACTACTATGCTGGTTAGTCTGACAGGTCGGTACGTAGACACGGTGTCTATTTAAGTGTAGGACTAACTATAATATCTTTCCAATCCCAAAGTAGTTGAGTTTGGGAAAAAGATATGCTGGAAAGCGTCATGAGTGGTCCTGAAATAATGTCTGCGAGAGATGACAACAACGGTGGAATTAACCCATCAAGACCTAGCGTCTTATCAGATCTTAGGCTAATCGAAAAACAGCTTCCACAGTCACATGTATGGGTCCTATAGCTAGTATCTAAGTGGTGGGGTTATGACGAGTGTTATTAACGTTACTTGTAGAGTATACCCTTCACGTTGAAATCTCCAACGATGGGACAACAGTCGGCCTTACTTCAAGAACAGATTCGACTTCAGGCAAAGTCGTCAGCAAGATAACATGAACTACGGTACATTCATCTTATAGTCACTAATTCACGTAAATTTAATTGTACAACAAATTACCTCATGTACATCACGTGCCCCTGTGATGTGCTCGATTATACACGAAAATGATCTCCGATATATAATATCATGCCTCCTTCCTTGCGATTTATAACTCTATCACTTTCAATGCAGATGTATCCTGCAATGATTGGAGAACAGTCTACATCTATGATATGCCACATTTGTGTGACAACACTTATATCGGGACTTCATTCATCCACCATCAAACTTAGCTCGAACGTTTTATTTCTAAGACTACGAGCATTTGTATTGCAGTCAGTCAGTCAGTCAGCTACAACGTAGGACCAGGCACATATGTGCATCGGTCCAAGTTGCCATACCTCATTAACACAACAAGATGAACACCGGATTCACAAAAGTAGGTAATTCAGAGGTGGTAATATATAGGAGAAAGATTGCATATAAGGATATAGTATAAGAAGAAAGAATCAGTTGGTAGAAAGAAAGATATGAAGTGATTTTAATCTATTAGTTTAAGGAAAGACAAAGTGTGTACACCGACGCCATTGTGATCGATTCTGAGCCATGTCACCAAGAGTCTCCAACCATTGGTTACGATAGTCACGCGGATCCCAACCAAGTAGTCTGCATCTACCAACATGGCTCAGACTAGAGGTTAGTGACTTCAAGCACTGATGCCACGTTTTGGTTTGGCCACCCCTAACTTTCTTCCAACCATCTCCAATACCGGATAGCAATGCACGTCGTGGTAATCGGTGTTCAGGCATACGTAACACGTGGCCCAACCATCTCAGTCGATGAAGATTAACAACCTCATCAACTGATTTACCATCATTCCCTAATACCCTGCGTCTAACCTCACTATTACTTACCCTGTGATCCCAGCAGACGCCAGCAATATTTCTAAGGCATCTGTGGTCAAATACTAGTAGCTTACGAGTATCTTCTACTCTTAATGGCCATGTTTCGTTGCCGTAAATTAAAACAGAACGAACTGCCGCGCAGTATACTCGTCTTTTTATCGATAGACGGATATCTCGCCTTCGCCAAAGGTAGCGTAAGTTGGCAAAAGTCAAACGAGCTTTTCGAATCCGTGCTGAGGTTTCGTCCGATACCAACCCATTAGGGCTGATCAGACTTCCAAGATAAGTGAAGTTGTCGACGCGTTCGACTACTTCACTCCCTATCCTTAGTTCAGGGTGTTGACGCAGGCCAGTCCTGAAGAAACAATTTGCATTTAGAGGGAGAGAAGCGCATTCCAAATATTCTGGTATTGTTGCTTAGTGCTACCAAAAGACTCTGCATTTTATCAGCGTCTTCACCAAACAGGACTATGTCATCTGCATATTCTAAGTCGATAAGTGGACCTCCTGGTAGGAGATCAACACCGAGGATTCAGACGACGAGAAAGTTATTTCCATTAGTAGATCTATGATGAAGTTAAACAAAAATGGAGAAAGTGGACAGCCTTGACGGACACCACTTGAGGTTGCAAAAGTAGATGACAGTTCGCCATAAGCTCTGGCTCGACTAGTAGTGTTCGAGTAAAGAGCCTTTACAAGGTTTATGTACTTCTGGGGTACGCCTTTCAATGACAGACACTGCCACAGAATCTCGCGGTCTACGGAGTCAAATGCTGCTTTTCAGTCAAGAAAGACCACTATTATCGGACGTCGATAAGTATGCCTATGTTCTAGAACCTGACGAATGGTGAATATGTGGTCGATGCAGCCACGACCAGATCTGAAGCCCGCTTGGTTCTCTCGTGTTTGCAGTTCACGAGTCTTAGTTAGGCGTCTGATAATTATCGAGGCTAGTATTTTAGATATTATATTAGTTAAACTAATCCCTCTGTGGTTGTCACAGGATGATTTTAACCCTCTCTTATATATTGGGACGATAAGTGATTGTGACCAGTTAGATGGAATAACGTCTAACTCCCAGATCTTAGCTAAAATATTAGTCAACCTAATCGCTAAAATTGAACCACCAACCTCAAAGACCTCTGGAGCCATCTGGACCAGCTGCCCTTCCTCGTTTCAGATTAACTATAGCCTTTTGAACTTCTGTTAGAGTTGGGGAATCTACTTCAATGTTCCATTCACGCTGTCTGGGAATGGAGGGTAATTGTAGAGTAGCTGGAGGCCAGCTGAACTGTTCTCTGAAATGTTCCGCCCATCGTTCTAAATGCCTGGACTGGGAGCAGATGAGAGTATCGTCTTTTTCCAAAATAATCTCACTTACACTTGACTTATTAATTCCAGTTTCTTTTATTAGTCTGTAAAGCTGTCTTGTGTTCCCTATAGTCGCCGCCTTTTCCATCTCTTTTGCTTTCGTTGCCCACCACTGCTCACGGTCGTTTCTTAGACTTTTTCTTAACCTAGATCTTATTTGTTTACGCTCTTCATCATGTTCAGAACCTGATGGGACGAGTTTGCGAGAATCCATCAGTGTGATAGACCTTGAAGAAATCCACTGGTTCTTTGTAACTCTGTGGTTTAAGTCACTAATGGATGTCACTGCTGTTTCCACAGCTGTTTGTATGTCCTTCCAAGCAACATCGTGGAAGGGTTCTTCTGGAGGTACCTGAAAAGGAAATTGGATTAGAGGTGGTCTTAGTGACCTGAGAGCGTGACCGCAGTGCCCAAGGGACAACTGCTTGAGGCCGGTCGCGCAAGGCCTTTTTGTGGGAGGATTTTGACGTGTTAGCTCCGTTCTTCAAATGGCCTTACCGCCGGGGACGGAAATCCGTGAGGTAAGGTGAGGTGTGCATTTTTAGGGTCGACCTTTTCTAACTCCACCCCTCCTTGTGGGAAGGCAGCATCGCTGTCATGCTGGTTGTCTGAAAGAAACACCTTACTGCTGTCACACCTCTGTACAGTCAGCATTACGACTTCGCCTTCGGACATTAGGTTTGTTGCTTTCAGTCTTACCGCTCTTCGAACGACCTGTCTGACATGGCAGGACCTTGAGGAACGGTTGTTCCAGCCAGTAT